TAAAATTAATATTAAATAATTTTTGAGAGTTGTAAATTTATAACATATAAGTAATTTATTATTTTCTCGTTTAAATTGTTTTCATCCGAGTCATCCTGCAAATCATTAATATGTAATCATAAGTTACTTATTAGATTTAATTTGTAAATATGATTAACATTATGCATTCGCGCATACGTACATGAAACTGCGCCATGTATTTTTTTTTTAGAATTAATATCCTATTGATTAATCAAATATTGATCATTAATCCATAGTGTATAACTTGGAGTTGGTATCTGGCAAACGACACACAATTCTACACTATGGGAATAATTATTTTGATAATCGGAGCGAGGTAAGAGAGAGTAGCCGATATAAAAGAAAAACGAATGATATAAATGCGATTGCTATTCACGACATTACCTAATCGATTTTTCTTCGTAGCTTTCTACCGGCAGCAGCATTCATGGGAGCTTTCTTTTTAATCGCCTCGTGGGTCACGACAGCGATAATCACTTTGAACACCAAACACGTACCAAGGTACAGGAAGCATACATACACATTCGCATCTCTGTATTTAAAACATGTTTCGCGCATCGATTATGCTTGTCCGGAAGTGCATCAAGTACGGAAAAAGTCCCTCAAAAAATAAGTAAACGTATTTTCAGTATCCAGGAACCATTCGCGCATTATGAGAATCTCTACGACAAGCCATGGACACGAATAGGACCGTATCTCATAGGAATGGCTACTGGTTGGTATCTCTTCAAGATTGACTGCAAGGCGAATATGAATAAAGTAAGTCCATAAGTAAATCTAAATAAATCCGTTCTCGTGGATCGCTCCTAATGCGAACCAAAGATTTTTCTAAATTTTCTTTTCTTCTCATGATAATTATGTTTCATATACAAGTACGTTTTCTGCATATATTAGCTTATTGTTAGCCAAGATCGGTGACTTTATTAATTCAGCTCATACATACATACATTTTATACTCAATCTCATATTTATATGTTATCAAAGTTCATAATTTAAATAATACAAAAATATAATTGGATAAGATGTAAACACACATGTATACACAAAAAATTTTTACATAAGCGATTACATGTACGATAGAAAAGTGTACACGTAATGTATGACTGCATTACATGATTGACACATGCAATCATAGACTTATTCCGTTATAATAGTAGCAAAACGCACATGACTGACACTCGTAATTGCAGGCTGTGGTTGCAATAGGTTGGTCTATTTCTCTGCTCACGATGACCAGTATAGTATATGGATTATACGGAACTTCGTTCGGACCGATATTGTCCGCGTTGTATACGGCATTGTCACATTCCGGATGGGCAATATGCTTGGCATGGATTTTGATCGCCTGTGTCAGCGGATATGGCGGTAAATATTATATTATATGTAGAAAATTTATATTTTATATAAATATTTTTTTAAAAGCTTTTATTTTAGATATAGAAAATTTTATGAAAGTTAATTCGGTTTTTCAGGTATAGTGACCCATTTATTATCATGGAAGTACCTGTATCCTATTTCCAGATTAACGTATTGTGTTTATTTAGTGCATCCTGCACTTTTGCGCGCTATGATTCTGCATACTGAAAGTTCGTGGCATCTTTCACATGGCTTTGTGGTAATTTCTCTTTTATTATAGAAATACTATCGATTATATTATTTCGATAAAATCTTAATCTTTAAATTTAGAATTTTTTAAATATAATAAAATATTTAATA